TGTGTGTGTGTGTGTGTGTGTGTGTGTGTGTGTGTGTGTGTGCGTGCGTGTGTGTATTTGTGTGTGTGTCCGTCCGTCCGTCGTCCGTCCATCCGTCCTCCCATGGAGCCTGTCACTGTGTGTGAGCGAGACACCCTCGGTCCCCGCTTGCCCGCTCCGGCGGCCGCATGGATCACAGGAGCCTCCTTAGTTTAAAACCAGTTTAATTAGGTCGCAGTTCACGCCCAGTGGCGCCGCGGCTGCCCGCGTGGTCCCCAGCATCACCCCCTGGTCACATGTCCCGGGCTCACGTTATTTACGCCAGGAAACCCCCGTTTGTGATTGATCCCAGCAGGGTGACACACTCTCCCCGCGGGCGCTCATTCCCAGCTCTGCCCTTGGGCTCCGCGCCCGGGTCCCAGCGGCCGCAGGGGGTGGCGGTGGCCGGGCCGGACCCTGTCACCATGAGCAGCAGGGCTGCAGGATCGATGGGAGCCGGGAACGGCACCAGCTTCATCGGCTCCCTGCGGGATGAGCCCCGACGGGGCCCGATGTCACCGATGTCCCTGTGCGTGGCGGTGGCTGCTGCGGCCAGCACCTTCGCTCTGTTTTAAGGCTACACTAATTATGTAAATGACATGCAAATCCTCTCGAGGCAGTGAGGACAGAGTCAGACGCTGCAGAGATGCAGCCCGCAGCCCCACAGATTAAAACCCTCCAGGGTTTCTTGCAGGGGCGCCCGTGGGGCCGGTGCTCCCCGTGCAGCAGCTCGCAGCCCACGGGCAGGAACGCGAGGAGAAGCGCTGGGAATGGGAGCTCACGGGCGCTGGGAATGGGACGCAGCCCCGCCGGGGCCGCGTCCTCCGCGCGGCTCTAGCTCTGCTCCTGCTCCTCAGCACGCGCCAGCTTCCCAAACAGCGACCGATAAAGCTCTGTCCTGCGGGAGGAGAAGAGAGCGGGACAAGTTACACGTCAAGGTCAGGCTGGGGCTGCACCAAAACCGCCCGCTCCTTCCAGTGAAAAGGCCTTGTGTAATTAGAAATGCATTCAAAACCTTCATTAATAAATACAGGCAAAGGGGAGAACCTGCAACAGATCAAGCCCGCGCAGTACAGAAATATGTAAATAGTCCAGCGTGGCTGGACAGCCGATCTCTAGAGCACGAGGGGTTCTGTAAGTCTGCCCTTTACACACAGGCTCCGCAAGTAAGGAAACAAGAGTGACTCTTTTAATGGGATGTATGAGACCGCAGAGCCATAAGGAAGATTCCATCAGCCGGCCTACGTGGGACATAATTTAGTTTTCATACTTTTTTTGAACTTGATGGTACTTGAAAAGCAAAGCCAATGACCCAGCAAGGAGCTGTCAAGCAAGAGCATGCGTGCAGCAGGCCCGATAAGAGCCGCAAGTTCCTCTTAAAAAAAAAAAAAAAAAAAAAAAGCAAAGTTGGTTAGTGTTATTTATCTTAAAAATCAAAGTAACATGAGAAGAGAGCTGGAGGAAAGGAGAGGGTGTTTTAATAACGATGTAGTTCTGGAAAGGACGGCGGCAGCGCTGGGGAGGGCAAAGCAGCGGTTTGCGGAGCCGGGCGCGCGGGCGCCTCGCGGCTCCGGCCCCGCGCGGGGCGCTCGGCCGCCCCGGCTCTGTGGGGCAGACACTGGGGTGGGAAACGCTCCCAGACCCCAAACGGAGCCCACGGCCACGTCCCCCCGTTGCCGCCCCTGGGCCGCCGTTCTGCAGCATCTCCCCGCGGCAGCGTTTACCCATGCAGAGAGCAAAACTCATCAATCCTCCAGGTTTAACCTTGTCTCTGTTCCAATTCACCAGGGTAAGTGTGGATTTTAATACTTTCAGCCCCCTTAAGGCGATGCATAATGAACTCAGATTTTGGTTAAAAACATAAAATTCCTCCCCGCCACCCCCCGCACTAACTGTCAGCGCGGAGGCCGCGCGCGCGCGAGCGGTGCCGACCTGCGCCGGTAATTAACGGCACCGGCGGCGCGCGGAGCAGGTCAGCACCGGGGTCCTCCTTGAATTAAAATTTAACTTACCCTTTATTGCAACCTACAAAAGCAAGTAATGAGCACTAACATTTTTATTTCTTTTAAACTGTCATTTAGGCTGTAGAGGGGATAATTACCTATTTCCACCGTAGTAAGGTTTTATCACCCTTAGTGAGGCATTTTCTAATTTAATATTTTTACTATATTATCATAAAACCTGTTTCTGGAAAAAATGATCAGGAAGCACACAGCCATTTGCCATAAAACATGTGTGTGAGGCCCTGGCTTCATTATTTATGTCCCTCTCGCGGGCCGGGAGGCGCCGGGGCGGGAGGGCTCTGCCTGGACACCCCTTTCCTTCAGTGCCGTCACGCCCCGAGCGTGCAGCCCACGTGCTGTAGGGTGAAATCCCCCAGCAGAGAGCCCCGCGTGCCGATCAGCAGCCCAAGGCTTCATAAATACATAAAGCAGCCCTATATAAACCCCGGGAGCAGCGAGCGCTCCCCGGGCTCCGTCCACACTGCTCTCTGCAATTACACTCCCGTGTTTCCTTTGCACAGGTTCGGCTCCGGTTTGGTACAAGAACACCGTTACGGGGGGCTGCTTTGCAGGAGGGTTTTCTTGGCGTGTAGGGCAGGGGGAACTGCTGGGCTTGGCGCTTACAAAAATACCCAGTGACAAATTTCTCTGCCTTTTCCCAGGTACCTTCTCCTTCCTCCCCACTGCAGGCCGAAAAGGGAAAGAAGAAACAAAAAAGGATCATTTCGAGTAAGCCCCAAGCAGTACTGAAATAACCACATCGGCCTCATTCCTAGCGACACGTCCCTTTGGGAGCCAGAATTTTTAATTCACCAGAATCAGAGAAAGGTCCATCCCTGTTGAGCACCCACGGAGAAGGGGAACAGGGAAAACACAGAGCTCCTAGTGAAAGAGATGCTGGGCCAGAGGGTAAATAATTTGCTTGGAAAACTTTCTGTCCATATCCTAAGAAATCTACTACCCAGCACTGTGAAATTCAGCTTAGAGGATCCCTAATAAATAGAAAAAAAAAACGGAATAAACTGGAGTGTTTCACGTCTGGTTCCCGCAAGAGACACAAGTGCCCCTGCAGGCGCCGCGCGGCCGGCGGTCCCGCGAGGTGGCACTGTGTCCCGTGTGTCCCGTGTGTCCCGTGTGTCCCGCTGTGTCCCGTGTGTCCCGCTGTGTCCCGCTGTGTCCCGCTGTGTCCCGCGTGTCCCGCTGTGTCCCGCGTGTCCCGCTGTGTCCCGNCTGTGTCCCGCTGTGTCCCGCGTGTCCCGCTGTGTCCCGCGTGTCCCGCTGTGTCCCGCTGTGTCCCGCGTGTCCCGCTGTGTCCCGCTGTGTCCCGCGTGTCCCACGTGTCCCGCTGTGTCCCACGTGTCCCGCTGTGTCCCACGTGTCCCGCTGTGTCCCGCTGTGTCCCGCTGTGTCCCGCGTGTCCCAGCGTGTCCCGCGTGTCCCAGCGTGTCCCGCGTGTCCCGCGTGTCCCGCTGTGTCCCACTCCTGGCTGGCTCTAAATCACAGGGCTGACGCGTGCCCTCGGGCTGGTCTCGCAGGGCCACGCACAGGATTTACAAGCGCCGCAGGGAGCCGGTTCCTGCCCTGAACAAAGGGACTGCAGAGGACGGAGCCGGGATCGGGGCAGCAGCGGCCGCGTCCCCGGGGACCTGCGGCCCCTGCAGACGGACGAGACCCGCGCTTCAAACGTGCCCTCAGTGTCACCGGTGCTGCACACCTCCCCGTAAATCAGCACGCACGCCGCAGCCGCCCGGCTGCAGCAGCGCGAGCAGCGCGGGCCTCCCTCGCTCTGGCCCCGCTCGGCTCTCGGCACCTTCCCCATCTCCACCGCGGTTCTGCAGCACGGTCCCCTAGCTCAGCACCATCAGCTCCACGGCTCAAAGCAGGGGCTGGGCAAGCACGGAGGGCGGCACAGGGCCCGTGTCTCCATCTCCAAGGGGCTCCATCTCCAACGTGCTCCAAGCAGCGCGCCCGCTCCGCACCTTCGCAGCCCGGCGACCATTCCCCTCCTTCACAGCGTGACTGCTTTATAACAGATTTGATGCAGGGGAAGACAAATTGTCTCACGAGGGAAGAACGACAAATCATCTCACAGATCTTAACAGGTTATTTTTTTTCCCCCTTTGAAAGGGAAATTTCCCTAACAGCAGCATCCGTCTCCTTAGGAGGGATGTCGAACGCCCCACGTTGGGATGCGATGACTCCAGCCCATCGGCCTGAGCTGGGTCACGTACAGCTCGGGACTGCTGGCTTCAAAGCAGGAGAAACCTCCTTGGACCACCACCTTCCCCAAGGATGGCTGAAAGCCATGGGAATCTTGACTGCACCTACAGGAACAGACTTCCCAGGATAAGCCCAAGTCCACGGGCTCATCCAGCTGTTCCCAAAAGCAGCACTTTGTTTCCTGGAGCAACTTTTCCCTCAGTGGACAGTCCTGGATTGACAAGCCCAGAGCCCAAATTCCTCCATTAATCTAGTCTCATGGTGTTTTAATACCCAAAGTACAAAGTGAGCTAAGTTTAAGGCGAGTATCTCCCCAACTTCCATTATTATTTTTTTTATGTTAAACTCTTATGTCATATAAGAAAATTAATCCTTTAATACCAGGATTTCCTTCTCCGTACCCCGCTCTGCTTGCAGTAAGACTCCCAGCGACAAAGCAGCGGCGCTAAGTCCAAGAGCTGCAACGCTGATGGGGAAAATACCCAACATGCTGGCTGAATCCAGGAGAAACGCTCTAATCCAGCCTTCGCTGGCAGCTGGATAAGCTGTGTCTTAACTGAGCTTCCAGCAGGCCCTATTCTGATGGTGCAAGAAGTGTCATCCCACTCCAGGCAAACGAGCCATCTCTGTGATCCCAGCTGCTCCAAGGAAGAGGCCGGCTTGCTATCCAGTGACAAACACAAAAGCACAATGGCTAGAGGTTGAAGAGGAGCAAGGGGCAGCTCCCTCAGCCCCGGGAAAGGCACCTGCACCGCCGTGTGACACCGCACGGTCTGTCCCGGTGCCATCACGGCCATCACCTTCCCTCTAGTTGGGCTCTAAGGGGAGCAAACCCCGCCGCGGATGAGGAGCCGCTTGCTGGGTGAGGAAGCGCCCATGCCCATGGCAGCAGCCCCCGGGCGAGCTCCGCCGCGCGCCGCGGTCACCAGCCTGGCAACGCGCCCCAGCGCGGCGCTCTAATCCTCCCCACCACGAGGCCAGGTCCGCGCCGCGAGTTACGGTCATTCGGCAAGCTGATGAGAAACAGAGCGAGCCTCTAATAAAAGAGGCACGAGAGCCCTTAGTGACGCTGTTAAAAGGTAGCGCCAGTTAAAGCATCGCTGCTGTTCCAGCTGATTAGACCGCTGTGGCATACTCGGGCAGTCTGGTCTCACCTGTCAGACTAACCCGAGCTGCTGTGGGGACAGAGGTGTCTGGACCAAACACCTGTGTCCTCAAGGAACATCTCTCCTAAGAGTGACCCGTCTTCCCGAGCTGAAAAAGTGGTTTTTCTCAAAGGTAGCAGCAACCTGATATGACACCTTTTTCTTCAAGGGTCTGCACGGAGTTTCTGTTCTACAAACACAGGGGCTGAGCTTTGCCCAGGACAAACACAGTGCTGTGATGTGAAGAGCTCTGCGTCAGAGCTGACAGAGACTGCAGCAAAACCAAAAGCCACACACAGTTCTTCCCAGAAGCACAGGCTTTACGTGCCCAAACTTGGCTGCTTATAGGATTGTAATGATTATAATGTGCTCAGATACTGGAGTAACGGGATCAATAAAGCACCTTTGATCACGCAGGTGGAAAAAATATATTTCAAGGGAACGCCAAATTATGGCACCAACATGATGTCCCCTCAAACCAAAGCAAATCGTGATCAGAGAAAGATCAATCCTGGATCTAATCCTGGATAATTCCCACCTGAGACAGCTCCTCTCTTGTGGATAACCACTACAGCACAGCCACTTCCAACTTCTGCCTTCACGTTCCTTGTCTCAGGGCAGGTCCATTTACATAGCAGTGACCTTGGACTGATTAAAAAAAAAAACTCAGCCCAAGAGTACTATAAATGTATTTAAGTCCATAAACATACATCCCAGGATAACCATAAAAATCACCTTGCAGTGTATGTTTTAAAATACTACCAAAGAGGGGTTAAAACAGAGAAGAGCTGGAGGCCACCGGTGTCCCACACATTACAACATAATATATGTGAGCACGGGGTTAAACAGCCATGCCCATGCGTAGGGTGCATGAAAAACTGGCAAGTGGAAGATTAATTGCCTGCACAAACGCTATTATTCCAAGCGGCAGCAGGAGTAAGGAAGAAGGTGGCAGTGATGTTGACAAAGGCCCTGTTGTGGGTGTTGTTCTGCTCCAGCTCGGGCTGCAGCACGGTCGCTGAGGGGCTGCTCATCCCTGTCTCTATCCAGCGCCCAGGCTGCTCCTCGGGGGCTTTTGCTCTTTGTTTCCTCAGCCAGCAGGAGCAGCGAGGGAAAGCTGTGTGTGCCAAATCCCTGGCATCTGGGCATCGCCCGCCGTGCCAGCACTGCACAGGGACCTTCCAGGGGACCATCCTTACCTCTGCTTCAAGGCACAGGCAGAATAGTGCAGGATGGCCTAACTGCACAGGGCCCCGAGGCCTCGAACACCACTGCACTGCTCCATCCAGGTGCCAGTTCTGCTCAAAAACCCAATCTTGGCAGAACAGGTTGGGTTTGTCGGCAGCATCCAACCCTCAGGCACGCTGGCTGGGCTGCAAACACGTTACCCGACAGCGTCATCCTAGAAGGTTAAACCACCGTGAGGCAGCAGGACACTTAAATGCCATTAATGAACAGCATGTTGGGTCTGCAAAGCGGCTAATAAACTTCACGCAGGAACTAAGTTCCCGCAGTCAGACAAGAGGCGGCAGCAGCTGCTGCCACGCTGCTGCACCAAGGAGGTGTAAAGCCAGGTAATAACCTGTTCCTGGTGCAGAAACCCCCGGAGACATTTCCAGGGAAACAGATGTCAAACACACGGTCCCCACCACGGCGGTGGCTATGTCGACAGCGTAACAGACGTAGGGTCCTGTTAGCTCTAACGGCTTCTGAGACCCACTGCAGTGCGTGGCGGGGATCCTGGGATGATCCAAACAGCCACAAACGCACATCTAACCGCACACTGCCAAAGGCATTTAGGTCCCTCTCTTCCTATGATCCAGGCAAGGATGGGGAGCGAACTTTGTACGGCTGGAATCTCCCTCTGCATTGCCAGCACATTTCTTCTTGTCCCAAGAGGATCTAGATCATATTCGGAAATTAGAGCATTTTCCCCATCAAAAATAAAAAGAAAAAAACGATTATGAGAAAGAGCACTCCTGTGATGAAACAGCAAGGTCCTGCTGTGGATGCCAAATGCGTTAGTGCCTGCTTCCTGAAGAACCCTTACCCACAACCGCAGAAGTGCACTAGGCAGCAGTGTAGGAGCAGCAGGGACTTGCTCGGCATTTTCCAAGCAGATGAATGACGTCTCTCTCACTTTCACACAGCACAAACATGTTCACAACCCAGGGGAAAGATGTTTCTCAAGCCTTCCACATCCATTCACTGGAAAGAAATATACTACCTCCTTCCCACAAAAAGCTGAGCATTTGGAGATTTAGGTTAGGAATGTCACGCAAAGAAATACAGGTTTATACAGGGAATATTATCTAGCAACTATGCATATAGCTGCGCTGAAAATTCCTTATTAATTTACAAGTTAAGGCATTACAGTATTCTAAGAAAATTCTTTATTAATAGAAATAAATGCAAGTGATGTTTAGTCTTGAGTGAATCTTAATTATTTCAGTTATTAGCTGAATTAAGATAACAGATAGTAAATAGAACCGTAAATGCTTGAGATTTCCAATTCAAAAACTATTTCAAAACCAGAAGAATTTTAAAGCAGGAATCAAAATGCACATATCAAGATTTATGAAAACTCCTCGTTCAGTGTCACAGTAATTACAGAGTGAAAGCTCAGCTAGACTGCCTGGACAGATGTGACCAAGACACCCAGGCTATGATGCCAGTGACAAATGGTTAACTGATAAGAAGAAATGGAGAGGGCGACAGACTGAAGAACAGGTCAATATCATGCTGTCATGAAGCCATTTGAGAAACATAATTAATCTATTACTCACCTGGCGTCATCATTCATTGTACAGTGGTCAATAGGTGCCATGAAGCTCACCAGCTTGCTATGGACATGGTACCTGAATAATGCAGGAAATAAGCAGGCGGCACATTACTAACTATTAATGAAAAGGAAATGTTGCTGCTCAAATAGAAATGTAAGAGTGTCTGAAATGCAAAGTACTGGCTTTCCTGGTGGCTGGTATCTAATGACTCACTAGTTGCAGATGGCAGTGTCTCCTCTCTTCCCTCCTCCTCCTTTCGTACAACACGCTTAGCAGAGTAATCAGATGATAGGACGTGCTGAATAGCTGACTAACAAGCAAGTCCTTGACTCACAGCCAGGCAGAGGATGTGCAGCATGCAGGAACTGCATGCGAGCACATAAACACAACCCCGGAGGGCCCGCACTGGGAGCCAGGGACGGAGCAGCTCTGCAGCCGGCTGCTCCTTCAGCCGGGGCCTCCGCTTCCCACCCCGGGCTGGGAACTTACAGACAGTGGTTTGAATAGCTTATATTCTAGCACCTCCCAGATACATGATTTAATACTGAAAAATTCAGACTGAGAAGCTGGCTTCAGACCTTGTGTTGAAGGGTGCAAGACCCCAAACCAATGGCTTCTGGTGTACAACACCATGCTGGCTGTCTAAAATGTTTTATCCAAGGTGCTGGTACTTTTAGAGTCTTACAAAGGGCACACAAAAGGATTCATAAGCATTTGCCTAGAAACACCTTTCCACTCTGTCATCCCCATAGTCCCCTTGGTTTGCTTATATGGGAATTTTTCCTGGAGGGGATTTTTAGCTCACAAGAACCTATTTTTAGCCAGTTCTGCAGGTCCACCCTTACACAGGGGTCCTTCAGTTTTCCAGGACCTCAAAGAGCTTTACCAAAATAAAAAAATAAAAAAATAAAAAAATAAAATAAAAAATAAAAAAATAAAAAAATAAAAAAATAATAAAATAATAAAATAATAAAATAATAAAATAATAAAATAATAAATAAAAAATAAAAAATAAAAAATGAAAAATAAAAAATAAAAAAAATAAAAAAAAATAAAATAAAAAAATAAAAAAATAAAACCCAAACAAAAAAACCCACTCAGCAGTGCAGCCCTCATTTTAGAGCGTGAAAAACAAGAAAAGGCAGTGATCCATAGAACCGTTCTGGAAAGATGCTGGAGCTTAACTGCAGGTTGATCCAAAACACAGCCACTGACACATTTCTCTTTTATTGGCATTTTCCCTGAGGGGGTCAGTGCAACTTTTATTTAGAAAAGAAAAACCGGTGCCCGAGATGTAAGAGGCGACTGACACGGGGAGATAGCAGCTCTCCCAGGGATGCTGGCGCGCGCAGATTGCGCGCGGCGCGAGGCTGCCCCATTATTCCTCGAGGTTTACGAGTCTGACTCAGTTGTGTGATGTTGTCAGTAGTTTTGACTGAATCATGAATATATCCAATTATGTGTGATGCTGACAGAAAAGAATATTGATAGTCAATAATTATAGGCTTTTCAGGCCAACAAAGTAGCTCTTCCCTCTTTTAATAAATTATCTTATGACATCTATCTTAAAAATTGCTATGCCAGGCCTGACCCAGACTGACTCCACTGACTTTCTATCAGATGCCATCTAAACTCACGATTTATAGTTTACTCACAAAAGGATGGTTAATGTTGCGGATTTTTCAGGAAGCGGAGCGGCTTTTCAGCATGCCTCCCTGCCACAAACACCTCCTCCACTACAAATCATGCAGTCACGCTAAACTCAGGGAGACTAATGCATCTGCTCTGCAAAGGGGGGGAAATTCCTCTCCATGTTGCTCCTCTTGCCACACTAAAGCGTGGACAACTCTTCCAACCGAAATACAGTGGGAGCCATCAACCCAAATTAGCGACCCAGGAGGCAGAATGGGAAATGCAGGGGAGCTAAATTAAGCTGTGATGGGATTCATAAAAGCATCTGAAGATTACACATCAAATTCCAGTCCGTGGGAAACAGACACCTACCTCACTTGAGTATTTCTGTAGTATTTCCTGGGGCTGCTCTCCACATTTTAGGTAGTTAAACATACATTGCACAAGTGCCGTTTATGGGCTTCCTGGCAAAAGGCAGGAATACTACCAGTGCACCCCAGCACAAGCACAAGGCAGTCAGATTTTATCTTCCAAAACCCCACACTTTTGGATATATTCCGGTGCAAACTGTCACCCACCGTATTTTCCTTCCTTTGCTGGCTTTTCTGTCCACTTTCTTCTTTATTTTGCTTCGTAACTTCTGGATGGCCAGCCACTGTCTAAGAAAGCAAAGGCATAGCTAAGTGACAGTTAAAACAAGCACACAAATATGCATTAAGCACATTGGGGTACAACTTCTACCTATTACAGTTACAAAAGTGAAGGAGAAGGAGCACCTCAGGAAAGCAGGAATGGAGCTGCAAAAGCCTGCGGTGCTGCTTCTCTCCAAGAACATGGAATTTCAGCAACAGGCACCTTCGCTCGCTCCAGCCACAAAGGGAAACACAGACCAGAGCAGCTGATGCCAATGAAGGGATCACTAGTCACCAAGAATATTCTGTGTGCAGGGAAACCCACAGAGGACACGAGCTTGGCTCCATTTTTATCCATTTTGATTACTGATATTTTTCAAGAATCTTTAGAATTAAGAAGGAAATCTTTACCAAATATAAATGCTAAAATCTGTAAAATCGTCTCTAAAGGTATTGCCTTTTCTGTTTCAGCACTGATTATTAGAATGGCTTGTATTTTGCATATAGAAAGCCCATAACAGAACAGATGGTCTGCCAGATCTTAAACTGATTCCTTAAGTGAGATAGGTTATTCTAACTTCATGAACAGAATTACTGTGACGCAGGAGATGCTCTGAATTTATTTCCTCGCTCCGTTTTTCAAAGCATATTGAAAATTACAAGCAAGTATTTCTCTCCACCACCTCTGACTATTAAACCTGGCAAATCTCAGCAAGAAGCCCTATAGAATGCTCCATCTATTACTGTGCAAAGCTGAAAAAAAAAAGAAAGCAATAAACAATTTCAGAAAGTGCTGTCTGATCCCTACCTGCACCTAGAAAGAAACTCTACTTCTCAAACAGAAAACTTCATCAAGCCAACAGAGTTTCAGCTGGGGAAAACTTCTGCTAGTTATAAATATATTTATGAAAATGAGCATCATCTTACCTGATTTATAAAATGAAAACCTAACATCAGGGAAAAAAATCTAGCAAAATCCAATTACTGCAATCTTAATATAATCATAATTACTGTAATCTATTTTATTGTAAAGTCAGATAAATGTACAATGTAATCACCACTTAAATGTAATTTTGCCTATATCATGTAAAATTATAGTGAATAGCTTTCCGTAATATTCCAGACATACAGAAAATAAATTTGACACACTGCACTAAAATTTGGGTAATATTTTAAAAGAATAAAAGTTATTTCACCAACACTAAAATTTCCTAAAGCATTTTCTCCCCTTGCCCATGCACAGACCCATAGCACGTTTTCAGTGCAGAGCCTTATTCCAGCATTTTCAGCCTTCCTTTGCCTTCATGCCTTTCTAAATAATGGCCCACAGCTATTTAAATGTATCCTGCTCTCTAAGTGGTATTTGGAATATTTTTAAATTTCTAATCATAGAATTAAAGTGAGAAATAAGAGTTTTCCTGCACAGAATCATATTTTACTTTTGGCACAAAGAAAACATTCCCCGATGCTGTTTTAATAGTATTTCTATGTTTTCTTGCAGCAGGGAGAAGGCATAGACAGGAATTGTTTTAAACTGATCTCACTACAGGTCACTCCCCTCATGCACTGACAAATCAGCTCATAATGCTAAAATCCCAAATTTTAGCAGCAGTTGGTCACTTTAGCTGGTCCCTCCTTGCTAAAGTAGGGTAAAAGCTCCTTGTAGTGTCCAGACTCTGGGGAACTCAGATTCTGGCAGCACAATCCATAACTAGGGAGTATGGTATAGAGAACGACTTACTTCATTAATGGCATATTACTTTAATCAGTTGCTTGGCAGTTTATTACTCAGATGTTCTCTCCAGAGACATTCACAATTTTGGCTTATAGAAGGAATCTGGCTTATAGAAGGAACAGGAGCTGTGCACTTCTGGATGGAGGCACAATGCTAGGGTGAAGCTGGTGATCATAGAACCATTATGGTCAGGAAAGACCTTCGAGGCCATCAAGTCCAACCACAGACGTTGCAGATGACTTCCAACTTACCTGCCCATTGCGACCTGATCGTTGGGGTCCAGTGAGCTTGTTTTACGTTCAATAAGTTCTCGAAGGAGCTAGAAGAAGAAGAAAATAATCTTATTTAAAAGTAAAGAGCAACTTCATGGATTTCTCAAAAGACTTAGGAAACTAGCTGCCAGATTCCCAATCAGTGGGCTACAGTTTTAGAAACTTCCTTGAAACCCCCAAGGCAAGAACCAAAGGCCTTTAAAGATTCTCTCTTCACAAAGAGGTTCTCCTAGGGACAACATGAGTGACAAGAGCAGAGCCAAAGGCTCCAGAAAGGTCCAACCAACAAGGCTACAAGTGCCAAGTGCTGCAGGTTGTCCGCCCCTTACACAACAGCCCCTGCAGACCATGCGGCTGGAGCATAACATCGAAGGTTGCCTGGAAGAGTTAAAACCCAAGTTAATTTTGGATGGATAGGGGAACAGCGCCGCGCTCCCTTCCATGCCGTTTATACAGGTGACATTTCGCACAACGTCATGCGTGATCTAAAAGGCTACACAGAGCCAGCAGCGCTGTGGTCCGGGCACCCTCCGTGGCGAAAGCAAAGACAGGACCTAAAAAGCACAGAAAAGGCAGCTCAAGGAGACCACGGTGGTCCCCAAGGCCACCCCGCTCTCACCTACCTGGGAGAAACGAGGGCACCCTGCGCTCCCCAGCTCCAAGGACCTGCCTGGAGAACAGGCATGCACCCCCAAGGGCAATGTCATAAAAGCAGAGAGGTAGCACTTTTATTTAAGGATAAAAAAGGCATAGTAAAGACTCAATTAACAAAGAAAATCTTTACACCTGTGCACAACTTTCCCCTCCTTCAAGGCATATATCATACTGAAGGAGAAAAACACAATTAAAACTTTCCTATGTCTCTTGCCCCCTCACATACATCCCCGATTTGTTTATTTTTGGCGATTATTACTACAGCAATTACATTTAAGAATTCAGGAACAGAGGCCACTGGTTTATTATCACTAGCAAAGAGCAAGCTATTTCTCTGCCCCGTTTATCTGATTGATTCCCAACATCTTTCTGGCACACAATCTATCAGTTTATCTCTCCCACTTCATCACAGTCACTTCTGGCAGCCAAATACAAGATCCAAATCCAGTGTTACACAGACATACGACACAGTAAACCTGTGTAACGCGGCGACTCGGCAAACAGCTGCCCCTAAGGCTCGGTAGAAATGGGATCTAGGTTTCTAGTCAATATTCTGTCAAAAGCAAGGTGGGAGGGAGAGGTTTGACAGCAGCAAGAAACGGTGCTGCTAAGTTTTAGCTCCTTGCCCCCGTACCGGCGGCAGGGCACAGTTACGGTCTTACCTTGCCGCTCTGGTGCCTCAGCTAGATCACGAGCACCACGGCATCCAGGATGTACTTGGCCAAACGCCCAGGGAAACACCTTTCTCCCTATTACAGCACCCCGGCCAGCTGGAGAGCTCTGCTCTGTCATCCAGACAAAACTCCCACAGAACCAAGCAACGGGACGTTTTCAGCAGAGCTTGTTCTTCCTCGTGGTTCACCAAATCCAGAGACTGGTAGACCACAGAGTGCCACCAAGACCTTGTGTCTGCCCTGGCTAGAGCAAGGTGTGCTCATCAGGGCAGGTTCCTACTGCTGTACGAGGGAGGTGGGCAGGACACGCTCCTTCCGACAAGGCAGCGTTCTGCGTGGTGGTTGCAAAGGAACTGAAGTGTGTGCCACTCAGTGAACCAAAGTGGGGCCCTGCTGTTTGCTGGGGCTCCTCTCCTCCACGTACAGGAGATCCTCTCACCAGACTGGGCTAACTAAGCGGCCACCAGCGGAGCAGCCTGCGGCCGAGGCGGCCACCGCTGCGCTGGCCTTGGCGAAACGCTCCTCCAACGCAGCGGCCATGGCAAGGGGACAGCAAAAGAGGGGGAAGGAGACAAAGGCAAGGAGAAAACAAAATTTTAAAAAAGCAGGGAAAAGAGGGAAATTAGGAAACAGAAATAAAAGCTGCAAAGCATCTTATTACATCTAAGTAGTGTACATCTTAAAGCTGAAGTTATAAATCATGCTAACAATGGTTACTGAAATAAAAGTGAATGTAGCCAGAGGCCACCACTGAAAAAGTCAGTCCAGACCTGCCTCGCTGCCTTTGGTCTTTAAGGATTTGATTAGTTTTTCCGCTTTCTAGTTCACAGCCCTGCATTCAGCCCATGCTCCAGAGCCAGCAAGGGCTCAGGATACAGAATGAATGATAAATTCATTTACTGAGTAAAATAACAGTGTTTTCTCAGCACAAGACTTAAAACACTTCCTGGGCTGCAATATTTCATTAAGCTTGGTGATTTTGGTTAAAATTTATTAGTCAAAACAGAAAACTCTCATCAGACCCCATATATTCCATTAAGAGTGATATATGGTGTCTCCCACTGTCTAATTATTAACTAGGAAGTGTAAGTAAATCACTATCAGCATTAAGCTCTGATGTGTGAAGACACAGTTTGGGTTAGGCAATTTCAGCATCAAAATGCCTGGATTTGAAGCATATTTTTTGCTCTTCCTCTTTCACCTCCTCCCATCTTCCCTGCGCTTCCCAGACGTGACCTCGGCCTCCGGGAAGCAAGAGCAAGTGCCAACAGCCCCACGGAAAGCTGCAAGCAGAATATGCTACATGCAAAGCCCACGAAAGGCAATGAAAGAGCAATACACACAGGCCAGCAAAAGAACCTGGAAATGTTCCTGCTCCCCTCCGTGTTTTGGGCACACTTCCTGCAAATGGAAAATATTTCACAGTGCAGGAGAACGTACAACCTGCAACTGCAAGCAGAAGAGCAAGGCAAGGCACAGAGAGTGTGTCCAAAGGCTGGGGGAGCTTCGGAAGCAGCAAGTGCTCACCTGCCTCTGCAAGCACCCCAAAGCCACCTCCAAAACGGCACCGCGCTGAAGACACACGCGTGCCAACGAGTTCACCTTAGAGTGACTGCTCGGCCGCGCGGGCTAAGGAGACGCACGCCAAGCACCTTGTACAAAATTAGAGGGATTTAGAAATGCCATCGGGGTGTTGTTCAGGGATAATAGAGATTCATTTCTCATTTTAGAGGTCAATTTTCATTTTCGAGGTGAGGTCTCATTTTCATGCACTATCTATCAGTGTTTCTAACACTTCAGTCGCTGACCTTTTCTGATTTGCAGACCCCGAAGAATTTCCAGTTGAGACAAAGACCTACCTAGAGCTGACATAAGCCTCCTGACAAAAGGCTCACTTCTCCTCGCCCTCGCAGACTGATTCAAATCAGCACACTGCAAGGTTGATTGATAGCACATCCCAGCAAAGAGTTGCGTTTACAAAGCTTAGAAATCTAATTGGGGCAAAAGAAACACTTTTGCTCCGTTGTTCCTAGAGCCTTCAGTAAAGCCAGGAAAGGCAGGGGTCACGTCTGCTGTTGTGCATCGAAGCCTTCCCGGGCAAGCAGCGCCGCTGCCCTTGGATTCCCAAGTCATGGATGTGGAGAGGGGAGCCGCAGCCGGCGCCGCGGGAGGAAGTCCCAGCGCCCCAGCAACAGCAGCAAACAAGGGGCTGATAAAGTTCCTTTTAAAACAAAGCAACAGCAGCACCGTCTGCCACCTCAGCCTCGTGCTGAAAGCGAGAGGAAGAGACTCAATTATGTGTGGATTCCTAAATAATGAGAAGAAATGCAAAAGCCTGGCCTTCAGGTTTACCAACAGCTGCTCACCTTGACAAGATCTTGCCACTCCTTGGTTAAAAAGACAAAATACTCAGCTTATTAGCAAGGAACTCTAAATATTTGCAGATTGCTTTGCTAGACCTTTCCAGCAGAATGTGGATTTGTTACTACAGAGAGTAAACAAGCAATCCCTGCGGCTCAAGGTCTCCTCACTCTGCCCCGCTGCCTTTTAATGAGAAATCCTTTCAAAAACCCGGGCAAATTACCTTTGTCCTGCCTGAGAGACACAACATCGCATGTCACACTGGAAAAAAAGGTGTTGTTTTTAAATCATCATTCGTTTTTTTTAACCAAATCACTCTGAGAAACAAAAAGAGAGAAGCTGAGTGGGACCTGCCAAGTTCAAGTAAAGAAAGAAGAGATCGAACAGCAAGAGACCACCACCACCCCTCCACTTTCTGAGCAGAAAATCGACAAACCCACCTGTTTATTAGTGTGATTTGAACACTGTCTAATTTATATTTTCCCCTCCTTTATTCTTTTTTGTCACATGAACTTTTTTGACACATGAACTTCAAAAGCTCTCTCCAAAGAGGCACAACACAGCCTCGATTTCTAGCAACATCACAGAAAATTCAGACTATAGTTCATACATTATTTTAAAAATCACCTTGAAATCTTCTTTAAGCTCAACCTTCTGTAAACTACCTGTAATGGAAATATCTAAACAGCAGGATGAAACCACTGAACTCTCTTTTTGCCTCTCTTTTTGAAAATATTTTATGAAAATTCAGTTTTATACCAAACTGGCATTGACTTGCTTGTTTTCTAATAACCCATTAAGAGAAGTTTCAAATCAAGCTTTAAAACGTGTTATTAACCATCTACCCAGCCATTTGAAAGATACATGCCTGTGATAAGAGTATTGTATTGCCATTAACCTGTGGGATGGTTCGAGACATCTCTTATTCACACAAAACTCTAAATGCATCTAATTAAAGCCACAAGATCAGCTGTCCATATTAATCACTCACCAGTTTAATTAAGGTAAACCAGCTTGTCAGAAAGCCAGTCTTCTCTCTATTCTTCACCATTATCGACTTTTAATAGTTCGCTGGATTAGTAATTACTTGTTTATGGCATTATCAGACACCTTGGAGAGAAAAACCACAGTATGTGCCCAGGAACTGCTCTAGACCTACTCTTGCTTTGCACAGCAGGATGCATTTACCCCATCCAATTAAGCTTTTTAGAAAGCCAACCAATGCACTCAGACATATGAATAACCCAGAAGAAAAATAAATAGTTTGAAGCTCACGTGAAGATACTTCTGAGTTGGAAGTTCCTTCTGTGGTCATTCAGATTCAAGCAGGACTTCTGGGCAAGAAATAATGTTAAAAAGGAAAACACATCGAGAATCCTTACTTGCTATTGAGCTGCTATCTATCACACAGAAGGTGCAGGCACACACAGCACCAACTCTCGAAGTTACAAGTCCAAAAATCAAAGTTTCCTGCAGCACCAAACCTTTTGCTAAAGTAACTTTGGTCTAGACGAGGATGGGAGCAAGCCAGTCCCTCCCTCGCTACTCAGATGTGCCCGCTGGGGAGCGCGTCCCTGCTGCGCTCCCGGGGGCAGAGGGGCTTCCTCACACGTCCCCCACCCCTCTACTCCGATTTGTTCCTGGAAGTTGTGGCACAAACAAGATCAACAACTGCAAGTTTTTAAAAGAAGTGGCAAAACACAAAACAGCTGAAACTAGACGGAGGAGGGAGCAGAAGTACAGGAAAGAAAGAAAAAAAAATGAGATTATGTATATTCTTAATTCTCCTTAGGCAGACCTGCTGCCACCAGTGATGAACATTTGCTCTGGGAAGAGTTGCTACCAACGGATCGCTTAGCATATGAACGCTAACCTAATTCTTGTTGGAAATAAACCAATTTCAACTCTCTCCTTTACTAGAGGTGTATTTCAACCTAATAATAAAATCTCCAGTGTAGCATGTCAGACCAGCAGCTCTCTGGTTGCAGGCTGGAATTTTAAGTCCTAATGCTGCAATATCGGCTATAATGAATTCATGTAAATAGGACTTCTAAAAATAAAAAAGTCTTTTTCTTCCCTTAAAAGCATGTATGAACCAGGGTTTAGAAGAAAAGGAAATGGAGTCTAGCATCTCACTGCTGTCAGTAATGAGGATCTTCTTGAAACCACTAAACTATTCTCATCTAGTGGAACCTAAATAAAAACCTGTTTCACCTGCATTATTCAGCTCAACTTTATATTACCATTCAACATGGGTCATCACAATAAAAATTATAACTGCTTATAAAACAACTGAGGAATATGAGAAAAGGCAAAGTGGGATGAAGAGAGCAGAGTTTAATCCTAAATCTTCTTATAATTCCACCCATGCTACATGGTGAATTCCATCAATGCCAAGACCTGCACAGTAAAGCCTGTTTACACACAGAAAGTAAAGAGAATCATTAAAGAGTTTTGGATATAAACTATAACAAAACAGTAATGTTATTCTTTTTCTTGTCACAACTTGTACACTTTCACCAGGTCACGCTCATATTTAGTCGCTCAATTTCTTTTCAGAGATACACAGGGAGTTGGGTTTTCACATCCTTATTTATCAGAATTTTCACCTTTACCAAATCCTAATCAGCCATCAACATAAACTAACTATTACAAAATGCTATTTAGAAAATGAAAAGTGACACCAAAAAAAAAGAAGAAGATCTGGATCTAAATTTAAATACAAAGAGAAAAGCACCTATTGAAACGTACCCAGACACTCTGCAATAAGTGTTGCGCACAGAGGTCAGAGTTTCTGAGCACCCTTAGCTCTGACAATCAGAGCTGTTGCTGCTCGTTACTTCCGAAGAGCCAGTTCCTTTTGTACGTTTATTTATGTACGTACACACGCACCCCCAACACGCACAAAAGAGCTGTGCAGTTATGACCCATCTGAAGGGAAACACATTGGCCGCATCGTCAGCGCTCTGCCCGCGCTGAATGCGGCTCCGCTTCAGCTTACCACCCTGGCAAATAAAGGAAAGCACTTTATGAAGTCAATTTAATTGGGAGGTGGCAGAAAACATACCGCCGTTTTCCTTTGGCCTTATCACTGAGCTGGCCGCCGCTCCAGTCTCTGCCAAACCGCCCTCCAGAGCCGAAGTGAAGCAGGTCAGCGGCACAGGTGCCGCGCCGTGCCTGTCAAGGGGCCTGCAGCCCCACAATTACTCGCACACAATGAGGCCATAATCTTCACAGATCATCTCTCCCAAGAAGCATCTTGGGGACAGGAGGAGAGGAGAAGGGTGGAAGGGAGGGATAAATATATAAATATTTAAAAAAAAAAGGAGAGAGAAGAGGAGAAAAAAAAAAAAAAAAGGAAAATGAATGTGTAGCTGCCTCGCGGCTCAGCAGATGTCTGTGCGTGATGTACGAGGCCAGGATAAGCTGTCGTAGCCCGCTGCCAAGCAGTGGTAAGTGATTAAAGCCTCCACCAGGCTAAGCACCATATTTAGAGTCTATGGGGTTTCGAGAGCTGCACCCATTCCTTGCTGTGCTGCCAGATGTTGTCGGCTCCTATTCACTGTGCGCGGGTGGCAGCAGTTGGTACCGCAAGGAATGCAATCTGGAGCGCTTCCGGAGCCGCCGCACATTAAACCAGTGTCACCCATCACTCACCTCTGCAGAATGCTGAAACAACTCCAATTTGCTGCCACTTCCCTCTTGGGAAATGGCCAAGATACAGTTGTGCCTGGCAGACCCATTTGTTTTACTCAGGTGATTCTCTTCTCTCAATGACCTCTATTAGTTTAAGTTTTAATTTAGATTAACCCCAGCACCCCAATTAACCAGGGAGGGGAAAAGCTAAGCTGTGACTAGTCATAACTCTGAAATCAGAATTCATCCAAGTTAAAGTTATTAGTAGGGAAAAAGGGCCATCCATCTATTGCTCCTTTCCTTTTAAAAGATCTAGCATTTCATGGCCAATAAGTACCTCACAGTACAGGCGCAAGGACTGTCAATCACAGCTGTTTCTCCTTGAACACCTCACTGTTTTATTACAGTGACTTAATTTGTTCTCTGTCCTTACAGTCCACTAAGACCTCAAAGCTGGATCTGCTTGGATCACAAATTTCACCTCAATATTATCTCACTGCTGCATCAGATTTAACCTCATCCACCACTGCTGCCAACAAGAAATGCCCTCTCCCATCTCCATTCTGAGGGCTACACGGAGGAACCCAGCACACTCCCTTGCCCCAGAAGTGCTTCCCAGCGATCCTAACAGAGATGTTCTCACAGCAAACACACGGACCTCACGAGGAGGTAGCCTGGAACACATTCCTGGCTCAGAGGCAGGATGCCTTGGGCAGATCCCTTCTGCAGCTTCAGAAATGTTCAATTCAGTTTTAGCACAATCCTAATTCTGCATTTGGTGACAACTACTATAAAAATTTCTTTGGACTTCAACAGAGGTAAGAGTTGGAAGAGTGTTGAAAACTTTCTTGGGGAGGAAAAGAAGGTACCTACAAGAATTTCAGGTGTTAAGTCAAATAACTGAGTTCTGTTGGCCAGAGAAATTTAGAGATTTAGAAGCTGACTACATTAACTCTGTAAGTACCAAAACCAGTTCAGAATAGAAATTCCAACTCCGAACTACTGTCACCTACCTGGTGATAAAAGTCATCATCATCAAATATCTCCTCATCTATGTCCTTCAGGTGTCTGTTGGAATCTGTGTGAGGGAGGACCTCCTAGGAGCACAAAGACAATGCTGAACGCTTGCACGTGCCCGTTTCCATCCCTAACCCTGATGAAATTAGCAGTCAATAAACACCTAGCTTTAGTTAGGTGAAGAATTAGAGAACAACTCCCACCATAACAGGCTTTTAAAGACCAAGAATACACTTAAAGGCAAGGTGGAAAATCTGCCAATGCCAATAAAGATTTACGATTCTTTTACTAGGGAATTAATAGGAGTGTACAAAGAGTATTACAGTCCTTTTATTAATGTAGTGGCAAAAAAAAAAGGCATCTTACAAGTGCATAATTCTATATGATCTCCCAGAATTGAGTGTTTATTCATTCTTAAATACTAAATTAATAGCAGACATAATGCTGCAGAGTAAATACAGTGTGATCTTAGAAGTGACTTTCTGTGCCAATGACTCTCAGCTCTGTAGTAATGATCAAGAGCATCAAGCCTATCAAGAACTGGCACAGGTGATACTGCAAACACACACACACACACGTGTTTCACGTCATCTTCTCATCCATCACATTATAAGAATGAACACTCACGCATCTCCTTCATAAATCTCTCACAAACCAGAATATCAGCTGCTAAAGGCTCAAACTAATTGATTTGCAGAGTTTTACTGCTTCTAAAAGACCAGTTACATAAACAGAATACCCTTACCGAATTTTCTGGCAAAGATTCAGGGACTGGATGAGATTCCTGTTCCTGCTTTCCAAGCACTTTATACACTGATCGCTTGGTCTGAGTCCGCCGTAATAATCTCTCTTTGTCCATCATAACATGATCAATCTGAGTCAAGATTGAACGCTCAAAGGCACCGAAACCCTGCAACAACATTAACTAGTGTCAGATAATGCAGAAAGCTTTTCCTCAAGGCAGCAACGTTCCTCTATCTTTCCATGTCAGTGGATAAGCAGACAGCATTCCAAAAGGAGGGGGACTGAGGTTTGCTGTCGGGATTTTGTCTTTGTTTCACTCTCTCCCTCCCCTCCCAACTTGAGGCAACCTAAGGCTTGGCTTAGTAAAATGTTTTGGTTCAGCAAAACTTCTCAATGAATAATATTAACTCATATGTGTTAGGAGACCCTCAATCTTAGGCTGGAATGATTACCCATTGAACTAAAGTACACACTTTGGTGAGGAAGAACACCATGAAAGTCTCTAGTTCTGTTATTAAAAAAAAAAAAAAAAAAAAAAAAAAAAAAAAAAAAAAGCAGCTTGTTGATCAGCAGCGGTGACATTTTCAAAGCTCCTACAGGGTGTCTGAGCTGAGAGAGTTAGCTGGGAGAACACCACCGCCATCCAAAAGGGCAGGGAAAAACTAAAAACACAAACTTGGAAAACCACTTGCCTTTCAGAGCTTTTTTGTCGCCCTTCAAAACAAAGGGGAACAACTTACGCCTTTGAAATTTGAGGGCTGCCTCTTTGCAAACCCTTTAAGAACGGAAAAAAAACATGTACATTTAATTCTTACTGTTGTAATTCTGGGCTTAACATGGAACATACATGAGGGAATACTTCTGTTCCACCAATTTCTGCTAATTGATAAGGATGTCAGCACACATGAACTTACCTTTCCCATTTTGCCCGATGCCAACTTTGTCTTCTCGTGCCACTTCTGCAAGACATTGTTCCGATACGTTCTGAAGTCAGCAAACCGCTTGGCCACAAATTCCGGGTAGTCTTCCATCTTCAGCTTTCGTTTGGGGACATTCCTCCTCTTCTTCTGAGCTTCATCTGCTTTCTCCTCATCGCTACTGCTGAGGATTTCATCTTCGCTACAACAAAAATACACAGACTGAGCACCCAGCATCTCTCCGAGACAACACGTATAGCTCTTAACTGCTCCTCCACTAGAGCTCATGCTTCTTCCACCTCATGGTAGTAGCTAATGTGGAAACACCCTTAGCTCAGGTCCTCCCTCACTCTCAGAAAGGTTACAAAATGGACTTTCCATAAAGGCAGGAGGGATTCAAAAGGCCATTTATCCCGTGTTTGTCACCCAGATGCAGCAGCAGCAGCCGAGAGAATGGCAGAGAGGGAGCACATTTTCCTGTTTAAAAGAGCTGGAGACCAAAGGACTCGGAAAGGTCTTGCCTTATTCTGTACTCACCTCTCAATTTTGGATTGCTTTCCGTCTACCAGATGCCTGGTGCCTGGGTATTCATAAAGCAGCTCATCTTGAAGGTCCACTAATGTTTTCAGCAATGCCTCCAGGGCTTTGTAACCTGCAGAATAAGAGACACCAGTGAGTTTACCCCTGACATTTGCCTTTGGAGAAGACTTGGCTTTGCAGGGTGCAGCTCCTCATCTTGAACCTGCGTTGCTGCCACAGTTGCTGCAGGTCTCATTAAATGTTCTTCTCTCATCAGCTAAAGATGTTGGTTTAACTTCAGATTGACTTAGCACTGGCAATGCCAAAGAAGAGCAAACTGAGGAAGATCACCAGTTTATGAAAGAGAGAGGGAGGACCTGCCTGGTCGCCCCGTGGGACGGTACCGATTTAATGTTTCATCGACAGGCTGCAGCTCCCTAAGGATCAGCATGGGAAGAAGCAAGCAATGTGTGCACAAGCGGCAGATGACACGTGCATGTGACAAACACCTCTTTGCTGACTAGTTCCTTTCTCTCTTGGGCTAAACTTGGCGGCAGCAGCGTTCAGCTTCTGAGCAGGAGCGTGAATCAGCATACGGAAACGGTGTCTACATCCAGCCCATGTAAACTCTCACTCTTCTCTCTTGATCATAACGTGCATGGTATAGGGAGCAGGAGGAGGGAGGGCAAGCAGGAAAACCGAACTCCTGCAGGGCTGCGACTATTGCTGCTTTCTATGCCGCTGTGCTCACCACGCAGGAGGGATAAGAAATTAGATTGTAAGTAAAATTAAACGTAGCAAGATCTGAACTGTGGGGGAAACTTAAAACAACGACCTGGCAAGTCTAATGAGAGGATGTGGAGTGGAAAAGCAGAAGGGCAGGCTGAGGGGTTCAGAGAAAGGGAGAACTCCCATCCTCAAGATTATCAATATGACCCTCAAAAAATAAAGAGAAGAAAAAATTGGGTTGAAGGGGTGCCGGACACTCCCATGGCCCACGCAGCGACTCCCCACCCAGCTCTGCTCCGGCAGTGTCAACACAGCTATTTCAGTTAACTCCAAACCTGTTCTTTTGTAGCAGTTAGTGCCACAGAAGCAGGAGGGGGGACTTTTGCCCACTTGCTTCTTTTTTTCCTACTGTTTTTTTCTTTTTTTTAAATGGGGGACACAGAGATCATGGCTAGTGTAGGCAGCAAATCTTCATCAGCAGACAAAGGCAGCGCAAGCAGAAATCAGCCCAGAGGTCTCAATCTCTCACATGTTGCCGCTGTGATATTGCTCAGTTGTCACCATCTTCAGATAAATTACGGCCTGACCTCAGTAACAGGAATGTCAAGGAGAAGACACTTTAAGATTTTTGTTGCAGATCAGCAGTTGGACTTATCCTCCCCTCATCCACGGTTCATTATAGATACACTGACAGCTGTTCTATATAAACCTATTAACGGATTAGGCTCGCTGTACTTGTAAAACAGCCATGCGCCGGCATCAAAACAATTCTAGGAGACAAACAGACAAAAGCCCTTAAAACTGCATTTGTGGTACGTGTCTGAAGCAGCAGCATCGTGGCAAGAGCAAGTGCCCCGTGCCAAGGGGAGCGCCCCCCTGGCACCCCGAGACCCGGCTCGCGAGCCGCTTATTTGTGACCCGCTGCCTGCGCTCACGCTCCGCGGGCGGCTTTGATCCTGCCAATTACCACTGGAGCAGCACTCCAGCTTTCCGGGACGCACGCAGGGAAGAAAGGCAGGCTCAGCCCCCCCGGGCGAGGGGATATGGACCCGGCAGCAGTGGGGATGGGAAGCGATTCTGCTAGGAGCGGAGGGGATGGGGAGGGCAGGGAAGACAATGTCCATGTGTCTAACCAGGTGGGAGGGCTAATTATTCCAGGCACTGGCTTCATCATGAGCCTCTTACAGCTGGGTAATTTCCATGCTTTCAATTCTTGTGCATTTAATAGCATTATTGGATAGGATTCTTGCTGCTACTGTTGGGTGCTTAACTGCACTGTAAACTCAACTTCACAAGCCAAGTGCCACCCGCCCCTGCCCTGTCCCCAGCCAGCCCTGCCCTATCCATTTCACAGGGAATCCAAGAGGGATGTTCCTCCCGCTCTCCCATCTGCATCTTCAGGGGTTTCTACCCCTTCCCAGCCCCGTGCGCAGACTGGCAGAGAGAGCAGCCCGAGCCACAGCACGAGAAAGGGCCCTCGGCAGAGCCTGCCCCTTCTCTCCTCTCTCTGCCCTTTTTGCTGCATCTTTCAGAGAACCTGCCCGCAATCTGTGCACACAAGCTTTCTACCTCGCATACAGCAGCGCCACAGCTCACGTTTTTAACACCTGCCCTCACACTGAGCCACAAACCATCTCTGAGGAAAAACCTCCAAACCGTCCCTGTGTTCAGGAGTTACTCGCACGTGCCCCACGCTGTGTTTTCCGAGTGCTGTGATGCAGTTCCCAGCTCCAACGGGACACGGAACATCCGCAGCGAGCCACCAACTTGTACCGGTTGCTTCCCAGAGTCCATGGGAACTCCTTCATTCTGCACAGAGGAAGCAAGGAAGTTGTTCCCAATCCAGCAGACAGCATATCAATCCACCAGGAAAGCTGGGAGCCACTATCAGTAAATCACGGCGTGCCTCTCCCTTAACATTCTCTCATACATTCTCATTTTATACATCCCTTCACCCAGTCAGAAAGTAGCCCTGGAGTATTTAGCTCCGTTCAGGGATAGCGCTGCCATGTATCAAAGTGTCAGGAGACCCACCAGAGATGAAATCTGTCCTACTGCTCTCAACCCACAAAAATCAATTTTGTCAATGCCGGTTCTTACCGACGAACCGGTTCCCCCCGTGCAGCTCATGGGCAACCGGCCCCTCCAGCCCTACCCCTGGCCAGCCACCCGGCCACCGCCGAGAGCCATGTGCTGCCCATCCTGGAAATGCAGCATCTCTTCAGCAAGGCAGCTTCCCAGGCAGGAAAACATGGGCTCTCTTCTGCCCAGCCCCTGGAAATGGAAACGGGCACTCGTTCCCTCTTCCCGCGCAGTGGAGAGCAGCAGCGGGTGGGCTGCAGCAGGAACAGCCTCACATGGAGACACCTGGAATCAAAGGGAAAAAGCAGGACCCTCGAGGCGAGGTTTTCAGAGGTGTTTGGAGAGCAACAGCTGCTGGGCTTCCCAAACCTGCTCCACGAGGCAAACTCTCCCGCCTGCCTGCAGTGCTCCAACACGTGCATTCTCATGACACCAATTCCCAGAGAGGGAATCCTCAAAACTCGGGCAAAACTCCCCGGGTTTCACTCCATCCCGTGCAGAAGGAAAAAGAGCATTTGGAAACTTCAAGGTAAAGCAGAGCCTGAGAGAAGCTGCGTGTTTATCCTCCTCAGGCCAAGCCATGGGTGGCAGCAGCCAGGAAAGGAGATGGTGGCACTAGGGACGGCGGACGGTGCGTGCGGTGCCCCGGCCTCGAGCTTTGCCGACGGGACACAAAGGCTTCCCGAAAAATCACCTTATTCCTGTGCATCACAGTGGCATAGGGAGGAGGCAGGGAGCTCTCCGAGGAGAGGAGACACAGCCCGAGCAGATCATTGCCGTGCATGGGGACAAGGCGGCAGCGCTGCGGCATGCGCGGCAGCAACGCAGTGCCCACGCTGGAACTAGCTGCTTTTCCTCCTCCGTTACACGGCAGGCGCCGGCATCGCAGGGATATCCCCGGTGCACGAGCTCTTCATGCTCGCCCCGTGCCAGAGCCCACGCAAAGCCCTGAAAAGCCGGAGCCCAATGCGCCCGACACCACAGACCAACAAAAGCAGCAGAGAAACCAAACCCTCTTTAATAGCACTGCATAATAAAAATTATCTCCATCGGGGCCACGTATTGACCCGACCATCCACACAAGGAGCGGAAATTCTCGCTCCTGTGCAGCGGCCCTGGGACAGGAGTTAAACTGCAGGTCAAAATGACACTCGATAGCTGGCCCGAGAACAATACTTCTCATTCAAATCCACCAGCCAGCCACTTGCACTAGTCATCCCCAGCAATTAATCCCCCAAGAAACACGTTTGATTAAATCTTTTCAAGCAAATCCTTTGCTTTGCTTTTGTTAGTTCACTTCTTGTCAACATCTATTAAAATATGCCTTTAATTCTCCCACAATCTTAAAAAACACCGATTCCACTGTCTTCAACTTTAATCAACTGTATGGCCGGCATTTTTCATTTCATAATAATGTGCTGTTTGGAATTCAAGAGGCAGGCTCAACATCAATCATTCGGCAAGAATTTTTCCACTGCAATAAATATGCAAATGAGGAAAGCCAGTCAGTCGTATTTCAGGCCCGACTTGCTAGTGTTTTAAAAAAGACACAAATTTATTAATTGCCGTTGGCCAGCGGAATCCTATTACTTTGGGCATTGATTACAAAGCTGTGTGAGTGATTATTGTGCAACTCGCAGGCTATCCAGGCATGAGGAAAAATTATTAAAGCAAGGCAGAGATTATCAACTCAGAATAACAATAAGCCTTAACATTTTAGGCCTCTAACTTCTTCAACAAAGAATTACGCCAGAGCTCTACTGTATCATAATTCTGAAGTCTGTCAGTATTGCTTTTGGAGCTTGTTCTCCATTTCCAAGAGCACAACAACGTTCCCGGCCAGGGAAAGGCGGGGAAAATTCCTCGGGGTAGCGCTCCCTATAACGCCAGCTTTCGGACACCCCGTTTCCCATTATTCCAGCTTCTGTTAGTTCCCACTTCCACTATCAGGATCGTCATGCCTGCACCCCCACGTCCTAGCCCCCAACCACAAGCCAGGCCTAAAACACAAGCTGCGGGCAGAACCGGAGCAGCCTGGACTAAATTACAGGCTGGTTACAATCCTTTGGCAGCAGCGGCTGACCTGATTTTTACAAAGGTGCTGTAGCTACGTGCACGTTTCTAATGGACTGCGGCCGAATCCCATCACAAAACACTTGCAAATCCGTCCACGTTATTTTGGGAAATTGTGTGAGTAACATCTTCCCAAAACACCAGGTTTCTGGAATTTTATCAAAGGAGAGCAGGAGAAAGGCCTACTTTTCTGCTGGTTGCAGGGAGGAAGGCTGTGCCATGCCAAAGGTCCAACTTGCTGGTTCCTTT